GATCAATTTAATTTATGATGTCACATTCTATATTTGTATTCACAAGTCGACCAATTATGATTTTGAGTAAATCATAGTTGTGAATACAATATACGAGATACTAAAAGAGATCAAGAGAGATGAAAATTGTGATCGATTGATCTAGGAACCGCATACTAATTCTACTCTGGATAATGCCCAAATTTGAGCTGTTATATATTCCTAACGTATGTATAACAACGAGCTCTCGTAGTATCTTTGGTCGCACGGATTATTTGCCAATATGAACTTTGCAAGGAAGAGAGTTGTGTTTAGCCCATCGTGGGCGAGTGGGAGATGTAAGACATATTGGGTGGACCGCCCAAGATGGGCCAAACCTCGGCCCGTGAGCCACAAGGGCCCACGAGGTAGTTATTTGCCTATCTATAATAGAAGCTGCACCCCTTGGAAAACGTAGTGATTTTCATATGTGCAAACACACTCCTTCGACACAACGTATTCTCTTTTTTTTTGCTTCGGAACGCACGTGAGTACGAAAGACGATCGTAGAACTCTCAAGCGCAAAGTGGCACTTAATCGTGACAATACCGGGTATGTTCGTTGTGTGATATGCCTGTACGATCGGTGATACAAGTTGATGATCCTTGGGCACGTTTTCCGCATTGATCGAATTCGTTCCGAATATGTTTCGAACACGACGATCGGGAATTGAGTTTTCCCAACAATGTACATGGGGATGTACATGGGGGGAAATGAGAAATATCAGATTTACAAAAGGAAAGAAATTCTTAGCCCTCGGCCCCAGCCCCAACCCGTTTATCACGCCACAGCCCAGCTGTGCCACCACCGCCACCGCCGGGACCGTCACATGTGCCATCCCCACCACCGAGGCTCGGCCTCATCATTTTCTCGACCGAACCAATGTCGTCTTCATGCTGTCCGCGCCACCGCCTTCCTTCCCTCTCTCTAATCTCCGCCGACGTTACGGTAACATTGGTCGTTGCCCGTTTACATGATTGGAGCACGACATGACTTAGAATTGTACCATGTAGCAATTTTACATGGGGGAAATGGAAAAGTAAGAAGAAAAAAGAGGGAAAGAAATTCTCAGCCCTCAGCCCCAGCTTGTTTATCACCGCCACAACCCAATCGTGCCGCTATCGCCACCGTCGGGACCGTCACATTTGCCGCCAAGCCACGGCCTCATCATTTTCTCGTCCGAACCAATGTTTGCATGCTGTCCATGCCACCGCCGTCCGCCTTCAATCTCCGCCCACGTTTTGGTAATATGGGTCGCGACCCGTTTACGTGATTGGAGCACGACATGACTTAGAAATGTACCGCGTAGCAAATTTACATGGGGAAATGAAAATTTAAGAAGAAAAAAAAAAGGGAAAGAAATCCTTAGCCCTCAGCCTCAGCCCGTTTATCGCCGCCACAGCCCAATCGTGCCACTATCGCCACCGTCGGGACCGTCACATTTGTCGCCCCCACCACCAAGCCACGGCCTCGTCATTTTCTCGTCCGAACCAATGTCCGCATGCTGTCCATGCCGCCACCATCTTCAATCTCCGCCCACGTTTTGGTAATATTGGTCGCAACCCGTTTACACGATAGGAGCATGACACAACTACCAAAACCCTAACTATTGCACGACATGAGATGCTTCGCCTGTATATGACGACGAATCAACGCGTTCACTCCGCAAGTAATTCATTTTGTTTACGGAAATTATAATTATGATTTTCTATGTTAACACGAATCGACGCGAGCAAGAAACGCGATTAAAGACAAAACTGCTAGGCCTCCACCGGGCAAAGAAAACTACTGCATGTAACGACCTGAGGAAAATGCTTAACACGCCATTGTTGTTCTGTACACAACAACATGCCAGTCGTAGCCCACCGCTAATTTCGTCTCCTCCTTCGACCGACTTCGTACAATAGTTCAGTTCTCGCCATCTCATATTGACCTCTTCTTCTCCTTCCAAAATGTGATGGCAGAACCTAACTTCTTGACTAAATTATAGTTCTTTCGTGTCCTATCGTCGCATGACAATTAGCGTTCTGCGCCGACGGCTCGTGCAACCAAAAGTTCGCGTTACAGCTTCCCTAAAAGTATTGCGGACCCATTCGGATCGCGCGCGGCCTTCTAACACATACCAAAACCAAATGCAAATCAATTTTGAATTTGAAATCATCGATTGGAAGCATTAAACAATGGTCGAAGTTAACGAAACGGGTGCAGCGAAAATTCGTAGGAGTCAAATTTGAGATCTTATCTTACTAGGAAACATATATTTGTTTTATTAGATTCATTCTTTAGGTCTTACGAATGATAATCTATGCTTGAACATTGTTAATTTTTGTCATGGGTGAATACTGAAGAACAAAATCTGAGTTGGTGTTTTCCTTTTATCTATTTACTTTATTGTCAAAGGTTGACGTGCCTTTTCTATTAGGCAAAACTGTCCAAAAAAATTTTAATTTATTGTACGACGTCAATTCAATCCTAAATTTTTTAATATGATCAATTTACTTTTAAACATTTTAATGATGTACCAATGTAGTCATTCTAGCCAATTTTGATTGAAAATTGCTGACGTAGACACCGGCCATCTTACTTGGCATAGGCACTAAGCAAAAGGCTAGCAAACTCTCGTCATCTTACGTAAAATGACCGAAAAGTTTTCGTCAGTAATTTTCGATTAAAATTGGTTAGAATGACTATATCGATAAATCGTTAAAATATTTAAGATGAAATTAATTAAATTGAAAAGTTTATGATTGAATTGATCATCGTACAATAAGTTTATAACTTTTTTCGGATAATTGTTCACCTTCTAGATCAAATTTGCCATCATCGAAAGCCATCCCTATCATCTTTGCCAGCTGGTCCGACTCAAACGTGACACTGGTGAGTGGGAAACCGCCTTAAGATTCCTTTGGTTGTTTGACTTCGACACGACAGGACGTCGAAACACACATACTTTCAATTTTAGTGTCTTGAGCCCCATCGCGTTGAAAGCGACTTGACCCACTTTGCTCGTGGGTGGTGGTGGTGGGATCGCTGTCCTTCTGTCATCCTCTCATGATTTCGATGAACTCATAGTCAGCCAGAGACAGAGCAAAACGACGACAACCGAAATTAGGAAAGAAATGATTCAACTTATGGTATTCTAAATTTTAAATCAATGCAGACGCCGCTTTCGAGGAAGACCCTTGTGTTGGAGTATTGCCTAAAAAACTATGCATTTAGAATATTCCGTCGGTTGTTGACAATTCGTGTGGTCATGTTTGTCTGTGACTTTTGTTCATGGATAAAACAGTTCAATCGATCAGTGTTATACACTCTTTTTTTTAATGCCAATTTGAACATCGCCATCGACCAATTCTCGTGAAATAAACTTACAAACACAAATTCTTTCGACCATAAATCACCATTGTTTGTAGCGACTGATATTGATGCCTTATCGTCGTAATTAAATACTTTGACAGTGCAACGAATGATCCGAATAAACGAAAGACGAAAATTTTAGGGTTTGCTTCGGTTCGTGTATCATTGATAGATGTGATGACTATTCACCCACTTTGCTCGTGGGTGGTGGTGGTGGGATCGCTGTCCTTCTGTCATCCTCTCATGATTTCGATGAACTGAGTCATCCATAGTCAGCCGGAGACAGAGCTAAACAACAATCGAAATTAGGAAAGAAATTATTCAACTTATGGTATTCTAAATTTTAAATCAATGCAGACGCCGCTTTCGGGGAAGACCCTTGTGTTGGAGTATTGCCTAAAAAACTATGCATTTAGAATATTCCGCCGGTTGTTGACAATTCGTGTGGTCATGTTTGCCTGTGACTTTTGTTCATGGATAAAACAGTTCAATCAATCCGTGTTATACATTCTTTTTTTTAATGCCAATTTGAACATCGCCATCGATCAATTCTCGTGAAATAAACTTACAAACACAAATTCTTTCGACCATAAATCACCATTATTTGTAGCGACCGATATTGATGCCTTATCGTCGTAATTAAATACTTTGACAGTGCAACGAATGATCCGAATAAACGAAAGACGAAAACTTTAGGGTTTGCTTCAGTTCATGTATCATTGATAGATGTGATGACTATTCACCCACTTTGCTCGTGGGTGGTGGTGGTGGGATCGCTGTCCTTCTGTCATCCTCTCATAACTTCGATGAACTAAGTCATCCATAGTCAGCCAGAGACAAAGCAAAACGACAATCGAAATTAGGAAAGAAATGATACAACTTATTGTATTCTAAATTTTAAATCAATGCATACGTCGCTTTCGGGGAAGACCCTTGTGTTGGAGTATTGCCTAAAAAACTATGCATTTAGAATATTCCGCCAGATGTTGACAATTCGTGCGGCCAAGTTTGCTTGTGACTTTTGTTCATGAATAAAACAGTTCAATCGATCCGTGTTATACACTCTTTTTTTAACGCCAATTTGAACATCGCCATCGACCAGTTCTCGTGAAATAAACTTACAAACCGAAATTCTTTCGACCATAGATCACTATTGTTTGTAGCGATTGATATTGATGCCTTATCGTCATAATTAGATACTTTGACAATGCAATGAATGATCCGAATAAACGAAAGACAAAAATTTTAGGATTTGCTTCGGTTCATGTATCGATTGATAGATGTGATGACTATTCACCGAATCAGGACTTACATTTTTCTTGTTGTGGTTTCTACAGTAATGGGGGGTTGGTAAGATCAGGATCATTTGTGAACACCTCGTCTCTGTCATAAAACTTTACTGATGAAAGTACGTCTAAACTTGGTGCAATAATTAAGTTTTTCGCCATTGTGGTGGGCCGGAATTTCTTCCAAAGAATGATGTCTGACCGTGATACGAAAGGCCAAGCGGAGATAAGGCTGTGGCCTCAGTGGGAACTCGATCAGCACACACTTACATTCCGTGGTTGACTGGTCGACTTGGGTGGACATCAATGCTCTCTCTCTCTCTCTCTCTCTCTCTCTCTCTCTCTCTCTCTCTCTGTATAAAGATTGCCTGTACTTGCTCTCTCTTTGTTTCAATTGACATCCTCCTCGGTTTCTCCGTATAGTTTTCATCAAGAAGTTGACTTGGAAGATGGGCATGGCGTTCAAGATCTTCATGAGGCTGGCGGTGTGTTATCTCGGCTTTTCTTGGTTCCTCTTGACTGCTGCCGTTCCTGCAACCCGTAAGTGAGCCGGTCCTTCGTGTTTGATGCATCCTATCTGATTGGTTTTTTTCTCTTTTCTGTATTACAGATATAAATTTTCACTTTTCTGTTTGATAGGAAGCTTGAGGTCGAGCAACGAAATCATATCACTCCAGGAACTGCAATCACTTTCTCTGGTGAGTCGCCATCTCTCTCTCTCTCTCTCGCGCCCGCTCTTATACTTCGCAAATGACTTCCGATGGAGCTTTGGCGGGCATCCGATCGTCATTTCTGGAGATTAATCTTCTGCCGGACTGTGTATCCGTTCACTGACCGTGTCCTAATCTATTCCTAAGAAGAGCGACCGAGGGTTGATTGCAATCTTATCATGTTTTAGGGGAGGTAGGGTATTGCAGTAGTCCTACACAGTGCTCTCACAGAAAGTGATTATGCGTCCGTTCAGTCTTGCCTTTTCGTTACAAAAACCTAAAAAAAGTTTCTGATGGAGATACGTTGCTGTTGATGATGATGATGATGATGGTGATGATGCACAGGATGGTGTGGAGTTGATGGTAGGAGGAGGAGGGACTTACAAAGTGGAGGGAAGGATGGACATGGAAATCGAAGACTATGCAGAACCAGGCGCCAATCCTCGTCACGAGCCACCCCCATCCTCTTCCGCAAACCCTTGACACCATAATGGAATTTGCCGTTCATTTGTTCACTGTAAAGAGATCGCTGGATGAGTTTATAAGGAAAGGTTGGAGGTTCTTTTTCTTTGGGTTGTGCCTGTACGATGCGCGATATTCATGTGAGAGAAGATGATGTTAGTCGGAAAACAAGAGGCATGTTAAATTAATCACATTGTGGAGTGGTTTCGATTCGTATAATCATATGAATTACCGAGAATTAATCAGATGCGACGTCATGTGGTGATTTCCTTTGGCGGCATCGGAAAAGGTAAGACGTTGATGTTGATGTTGATATTTTGAATGATGAAAAGGGATTTAATATGGTGATCGGGAATAAGAGAATGGGGTCACGAAATGGGGATTGATATTCTGAATTCCATGAATACAAAGCTGCTTATATTCGTTAAGTTGGAATTTTCCATTTTCAGCTTACAGTTTAAAACGAAACTAGTTACTTGAGCTTCGTATGTTTTGCGAAAAATAAATTATTTAAAAAATATTTTCCTAAAAATGATAGTTTATATTTCTTACAAAATGAATGGCAAATAATTTCATCGACAAGTTTAGACATAAATTGCTATCGAAAATAAAAGCATTTTTATCGATTAATTATTTTAAGCGATATAAGTTATCTTTTTTTTGAAAATATCTTTTACAAATAATTTATTTTTCACGAAACAAACGCATATATAAACTCCAAAGTGTCAACTTGAATAAACACTAATATAATCAATAGTCAACGCAAAAATACAGGCTTAGTGGGCTCATTGGAAGGTAAATAATTGATGTGCGTTTTAAATTCTTTTTTTTTTTTGCCATCGTGCAAATTAGGATTTGAAATTCATAATCAAAAAATAAAAAAAAAGTGGGAGTTAAGAAAAGGTGATAGAATGTGACATTTTTTTAGTGCATGAAACCAACTCAAAACAAGCCCATGAACTGTATATTAATAATAACCGACCAAAAAAAAAACTGTATATTAATAAAGCCCAAGAAGGCTAAAGAGCCAGTCCTCGGCTTTAACAAAGATACAAAGAAAATGATGAGAAGTACTTTAAGTTGAACTATAACCAAAACATCTACATTATTTTGTATGAAAAATTGTGCCGAAGAACAAAAAATTATATATATATATATATATATATATATATATATATATATATATATATGAAAAGCACAATAAGTAACAGAGGAATCCCATCATCTCATGAATAATTAAAATGAATCATTTACATTACAATTGTATCTCAGAACCATGCCTAACAAAAATATGGATACGCTACTCTTGATAGATAATAATTTATATATCGAAACAAACAACCATCCTTAGTAAATTAAGGGACATTCTGGCAGATAATTAAAAAATTTAGTGAACGTTATTAGATAAAGATAGCAAGAACAAATTAATAATCATCGACGAATATTTTTTTTTTAAAATTTGAGCCTCTCCACAAAGCCGCACTAGACCTGCATCGGCTTAGGCTACGTTTAGTTGAGCTTTTTGGGGAAAACATTTGGCCGAAATGACCGCATCGGCATATTGTAAAAAAGTTTAGGACTATATTAATTAAATTAAAAAGTTTAGGATTGAATTGGCGGTCGTATAATAGGTTTAGGACTTTTTATGACAATGATCCCCTATTTTATCACTTCCTTCACCTTCTAGATCGATTTTGCCATTATTAAAAGCCTTCCCTAGCCTTTTTGCCACCAATTCCAACTGAAACATAGATTTGTCAAAATGAGTCATAAACCCATTTATTAACTCATATTTGATAGACTGTGTTGTTATATAGGTTAATTATATTCAATAAATGGGTCAAGTATATGTGTTAAATGAGTTCACAACTTACTTAAATCTAAATCACCTCTATGACTCTCTTTTTACTTTCTCGCTCTCACTCTATTTTGCGCTCGCTCATTCTGTGTTTTTGCCTAAGTTTGCATATAAATTTTCCTAAATTGGGTTATATATAGAAGTATTTTAGCGATATGAGTCGAATCGAGTATAAGTTACTAGATTTGTATTATATGAAAATGAGCTAAACATGTTAAATGGGTCAATTCAGATTTGACCTTTTTCGATTCGATCCACCCGTTTGATAGATCTACTCAAACATGATACCTATAAAGTGGGAAATTGTCTTAAGATTCTTTCCTTGTTTGACTTCGACATAACAGGACGTCAAAACACATATTTTCAATGTTAGTATCTTTAGCCCATCACGTTGAAAGTGACTTGACCACTTTGTTCGTGGGCGGTGGCGGGTTCGGTTCTCTCTCCTACTATCATCTTCTTGTAATATCGATTGACTAAGTTATCCACAGTCGGGGCAATGACAGAGTAAAGCGATAATCGAAATTAGGAAAGAAATGATCCAACTTAGTATTCTAGCTTGAATCAATCTAGATGTCGCTTTTGGGGAAGACCATTATGTTGGAGTATTGCCTAAAAACTATGCATTTAGAACAGTCCACCGGATGTTTACAATACGTGCGGCAATGTTTGTTTGTGACTTATTTTAGAATAAAACAGTTTAATAGATCCGTATCATACACTTTTTTAATGCCTATTTTGATCATCGCAATCTACTCGGCCTTGCGAAATAAACTTACAAATTGAAACTCTTTCGACCATAGATCACCACCGTTTATAGCGACTGATATTGATTCCTTATCGTCACAATTAGATAGTTTGATTTGGATTGCGAATGATCCTAAATTGACAAATTAAAATATCCAACAAATTTTAGGATTTACGTGCCTCCGTTTATGTATTGATTGATAGATATTATGACTATTCACGGAATATCAATCTGCCATTACTTTTTCAGGATTTACTTCTTGTTAGGGTTTCTACTGTGATGGCAGGTTGATAAGATAGGATCATACGTGCTGTACTGCTGTGTCACCGAACTTCACTAATGAATGTAAGTCTGAACTTGTGCAATAATTAAATTTTTGCCATTATTGTAGGCCGGAATTTCCTCCAAAGAATGATGTTCGACTGTGATATGAAAAGACAAGCGGAAATAAGGCTGTGGTTTCAGTGGGAACTCTATCACCGCACACTTAAACTCTGTCTATTTTATGAAAAATTAAAAATTAAAAAATACTTTCTTAAAAATAATAATTTATATTATTTAAAATAATTAATCAATAAAAAAATATTTTCATTATTGAGGCATTTCATGGATGATTAAAAAAATTTATTCATTCATTTTTTTAAGTGATATAAGCGATCATATTTAAGAAAATATTTTACGAAAAATAAATTATTTGAAAAATATTTTTTTTTAAAATGATCTATTTTATCGTTTATAAAAATAAATGAATAAAAAATATTTTCATTGTTCATAAAATATTTAGACACCAATCGTAAAAAAAATTATTTAATTAATTATTTTAAGTTATATAAATGATATTTTTATGAATATATCTTTCAAATCATTCCATTTTCTCGTGAAACAGTGGGATTCCGTAGTTGACTTGTGGACATCAATTCTCTTTCTGCTGGGTCACTCATTCATATCTCTCTCTCTCTCTCTAAAGATCGCCTGTACTTGCTGTCTCTTTACTTCCTTTGACACCCTCCTCGGTTTCTCCATATAGTTTTCATCAAGTAGTTGACTTGGAAGATGGGCATGGCGTTCAAGATCTTCATGAGGCTGGCGGTGTGTTATCTTGGCTTTTCTTGGTTCCTCTTGACTGCTGCCGTTCCTGCAACCCGTAAGTGAGCCGGTCCTTCGTGTTTGATGCATCCTATCTGATTGGTTTCTTTCTCATTTCTGTATTACGGATATCGATTTTCGTTTTTCTGTTTGATAGGAAGCTTGAGGTCGAGCAACGAAATCATATCACTCCCGGAACTGCAATCACTTTCTCTGGTGAGTCGCCATCTCTCGCTCTCTCGCACGCATGCAGGCACGCAATAATTTCGAAAATGACTTCCGATCGAGCTTTGGCGGGCATCCGATCATCATTTCTGGAGATTGATCCTCTGTCCGGACTAGTATCCGTTGACGGGCCATGTCCTGATCTGTTCGTATAAATCCTCGACGACATACTCTCTCCAAAGAAGAGAGACTGAGGATAGATTGCAGTTCTATCTTGTTAAGGGGAGGTTAGGGTTTTGTAGTAGTCCTACAAATTGCTGTCACGGAAGTGATTTTGGGTTCGTTCAGTCTTGCTATCTCGTTACAAAAACCCTTAAAAAGTTCCTGATGAAGATACGTTGCTGTTGATGATGATGCATAGGATGGTTTGGAGCTGATGGAAGGAGGGGTGGCCCACGAAGTGGAGGGAAGGGTGGACATGGAGATCGACGACTATCGAGTCCCAGGCGCTAATCCTCGTCACAGCCCAACCCCACCTGCAACTCATTGACACCATAAGGGAATTTGTCGTTCATTTACTTGCTCCTGGGAAACAATAAATAATGTCCTTTTGTTATTGTCAAGAGATCGGTGGATGAATTGATAGGATAAGTTGGATTTGGAGGTTCAAATTAACAAGAAGGAGCAAGGATTTCTCTCGACCTCGCTTCTATAATTGTCCCTCGTCGTTGCAAAACACGCTGACATCGAGGTTAGTCGGATCCAATCGAGATCACATATATGAACAAGAGGTGCATTAAATTAATCATATTGTAGAGTCAGTTTCGAGCCCTATAATCAAATGAAATATCGGGATTTGATTAGATTCGACATCCGCTATCAAAAAAGGTAAGAGATCGATCCTGATGTTTTGAACGACGAAAAGTGATTTAGTATAGGGATCGGGATTAAGAGAACGGGGTCATGAAATGGGGATTGATATTCCAAATTCCATGAATATAAAGCAGTTGTATTCCTTAAGTTAGAATTTTCCATTTTCAGTTTACACCTTAAACATTGATTTAGAAAAAAATAATAATATAATGAAACTAATAATGATCGCCTAAAAATGAATAATTTGGAAAATAGTTTCCAAAAAATGATTGTCTATATCACTTACAAAAATGAATGACAGGCAAATATTTTGGACATATTACATCAATACCAATTCGGTCATAAATTAGTCTTAAACATTTTCACATCACATTGGTACCAATTTAGTCCACACGGCCAATTTGGGTTAGAAATCATTTATGTGGATATCGGCCGTCCTATGTAGCACGGCTGCCGCTAACGTGAACATTTTTAATACTTTTTTGAATTTTTTTATAATTTTTTGTTTTCTCTTT